CGCTAGTAGTGAACATCAAGCGCCTAAATTGTGGTCGGTAAAGGTAAACCTAGTTGATTTGTACATACTTTTGTAACCAATCTTTGGTTGGCGAACATTGATATATTTTAATTAATACCCTACTTTTTATTCCTGCTATTATTTTATTCAATATTTCGATTTTCAAAAACCACAAAGTCAATTGAAATTAACAATTTCGATAATCGAAAACAATAAAAAAAAAAAAGAAACATATCATTGCAGAAGTAAAATTGTATTGCACATATTTCAAGTATTAATAGTCAGTACATAATCCTAAATGAGTAACATTTAACCACAAAAAGATGAATTGTAACTTTAACACTTGATTGAATTAACCTGTTTATATCAAATTGAGCTGTAGAAGGTGTTAAGATAGTAATGTGTAATTGATTAGAGTATTGTCATTGCCCACGACGAGATGGGCTTCCATTGCTTGAGCTTGGAAAAATAGCAACTGACTCGTGCTTCGACTTTCTTTTTAATTGCATCTGTATGAGCATTAGAAAAAACAACAATGAGATCAAAAAAGAAATGATATCTTATATAACCATTCCCTCCTACACTGACGATGAAGATAAATAAATAATAGTAACAGCATTAAGTCCAATCTTATGTGCCAACCTTAATGTGGACCATAACAAACTCCGAAAAATTAAATTTAGGCACAAAATTCAGCCAATCGTTAATTTTTCAACATGACTAGAAATCACCCCGTAGATAAAGTTGAAAGCGTGTCAAGTAAGTTGTAATACACCTTCTGTTGATTAGCTGCATATCCAAATGATGTCCAACACAAGTTTTCAAATATGTCTGGCCAAAGTTGCCATTAATTTTAATATGATAGCCTTAATCAATTGCTAGTGCAGAACATCTTATTCATTTCTTGATTGGTTCACAACTTGACATGCCAAAAGCCATCACGTTTTCACAAATTCTAGATTCCCCCATAAAAGTGAAATTAATACTACCCAACGTGAAACACAATTTCTCGATATAACAATCAAAATTGATTTAGGTATACAACGGAAGCACTTATATTCTAAAGGAAAACATATTGAGGAAATACATAAACTTTGTTAATCCAATGGCACATGCAAAAGAAATACAAACCATGGAGATACAAAGCAATGAAGACGTTTTAGAGACCATAGAGCGCTGTAACTGCTTTTAGTGAAAGTATACCTAGAAAAAAGGGGAAGAAGTCATAGTTGCATTTCCAGATACTTTAATTTTTTTGTAGTGTACTTCTGCAGTTGTATGCTCAACAATTGGGTTCTACCAGATACTTTAATTTTTTCAACCAACTCTATATGGAACTTTGAAATCTCATGCTCATCTTTCTCAACGAATTATCATAGGCTTCCATGTATCATTAGTGTAGACGATTCTGGAATGTTCTACACTAGATAAAGATAAATGATACATAAGTAGAAGGGAAAAGGATGACGAAGAAAAATAGAAATATTATTAGTTGTACGATAATTAGCTTCTAAATTTAACAGAAAGGTAAAATGAGATATTTATTAGAACCTAATTTTGATTGCCCAAGTGATTCCAAATATTATCACAAGATACATGTACAACTTCCTCGTGACTATACGAATCCAACAAAACACAACTTGCATACTTTTATGCATTACCTTTAGTTTGATATTTCATTTGAGCTACGCGTCGAGCATAATTTCTTAGCATCCAAGCTTTGCCTATTTTCCTCATCAGTGGATTCAATAGGATTAGTTAATCGGTTCATAAGCTATGCACCAAGCAAATCTTGGATGCATTAGGTAATCAGACAGTCGATTAGTCTTTTTTTGATCTTGCATTGAGCAAATCTATGTGGGTTTCACTTTGATAAGTGAAAGATTAATCTTAGACAGTGTATTACAAAATCCACACATGTATATATGATGCCAAAAAATTTCAGGCACAAAGGTAAGTGAATAAATTTGAGCCACATTCTAGGAAAAAATACATTATTCATGTCAAATCAATGGAAAATATACGGTTAAAAAATAAGGAAAAGTTTTTGATTTGCGTGTAATATTATTTTATGAAAAAATATGTGGTTGAAATGATGTTAAATCACTGTTGAAGAATATATTTTTTTGAAAGGGTAATTGGCACAAAACGTACCTACCTTTCATGTCTATTGTAGAAAACGTCCCTACATTTTATTTTTTAACATTTTTGCCCCTATTTCCACATTTCTTGGCACTGAACGTCCTTTTCACCAATTTTGGACAATTTTATCCGCAATTCAAATAAAACAAAAAGGAAAGAAAGGAAACAACAAATAATTAATTACAACTACAACCCCCAATTTTTGAAAAATTACAAATCAGTTACAAATATATACAAAATTTTCAACTTAGGTGCCAACAACCATGGACCCCAATTTCCGGCACCAAGGCCAATGGATTTTAACACCACCACCATCTCCTCATCAACCTTAGCATTCCCATGCAAATTCTAGCCCCAAATCCCAGCAAAATCGAGCTAAATTTGCCCAAAAATCGCCTCTCACGCACGGTATTATTGCAAATTCGACCAAATCCATGTATGCCCATGTTCTATACAACCCATAGGTTGCTCAAGCTCACCAAGGCGCATCCATACATGTTCCAATTACAGAAAACAACCTTGAAAATTGAGATCTACAACCAATTTTCGAGTCAGCGAACTCGCGGCCGATCCCTTTTCAATTGGCATCCCTCCACGACTCTAATCTACAATTGCATCAATCAACATGCAATTGAAGGTCAAACGAAGCTGGATATGGATTTAATTGCTTCAATTCATCAGCCAAATCATTAATTTTGGATTTGACCTCACGAAATGCGCGGCCGCGCTAAGAGTATAATTCTTCATCAATTCGTGAGTCTAATGTGTCCCAACATATGAATCAACATGGAGAAACTCAAATTGAAGACATAAATACACTGGGTAATCTTTTAATTCTAGAAATTACAACACTCATTTCCCAATTTTGGATTCAAATGGTGTTCTTTACACACTTGAAGAAGAAGGAATAGAAACTGGATGCCATTTGTAATTTTTTAAAAATTGGGGACTATGATTGCAATTAATTATTTGTTGTTTCCTCTCTTTTCTTTTTGTTTTATTTGAATGGAGGGTAAAATTGTTCCAAATTGATGAAAAGGACGTTCAGCGCCAAGAAATATAGAAATAGGGGCAAAAATGCCAAAAAATGAAAGACAGGGATATTTTCTACAATATACATGAAAGGTAGGAACGTTTTATGTCAATTACCCTTTTTCGAAAATAATGTGGCTCAAACAAGCCCTAGGTGTTGTAAATATTTTAATTGACAACAAATCCCATAGATCAGGTCATTAGCTAAGTTTAGAATATTTGATTGGCTATTAATTGAGATTTGGTCTACAACTCAATCACATCTCGTACGTGTATATAGTCCTCACCATTATTAAATGAAAACCAAGCCATTATTTTTCAATATCTTCATGGCATTAGAGCATCCACGTTTCTGACATGTCTTCTTCCCCTTCTCTCTTTTGATTCTTTCTTTCTTATTTTTTTTTTCACAATTCTCCACTTCTTTCTTCAAATGGCTTCCAAAGACACCTTTGCATCTTCCAATCCTTATATCACCATTTAAATTACCCAAGACCCAAATAATCCTCTTGTTACCATCAACACTACTAACATCACAAAACTGACCACCACCAACTACATCATGTGGAGCCTCCAAATCAGAAGTCTATTGGAAGTATATGATCTCTCTGGCTTTCTTGATGGTTTTTACCCTAGTCTCTCACCGACAGTCACCACTGATGGTAAGTCAGCTCCAAATCTAGCCTACACAACATGGAAGTGCCAGGATCGTCTCCTCTTCAGTGCACTCCTTAGTGCAGTCTCTCTACCCATCCAACCTTTACTTGCTTGCAATACCACCTCACAAGAGGCCTGGACCACCTTGGCTAATACCAATGCCAAACCATCTCATGGTCACATCAAACAAACCAAGGACCAATGAAAAAATTGTGTCAAGGGCTCCAAGACGATCTCCAAGTATATACAATTTATCAAGAATCAAGCTGATGAACTTGCTCTTCTTGAAAAACCCGTTGATGATGGAGATCTCATCAATAAAATTCTTGACGGCCTTGGCAAGGAATACAAACGAATTGTCGACGCGGTTAATGCTCGTGAAATGCTGATCTCCTTTGATGAAATTCATGAAAAACTCATCAACAAGGAAGCGTCTCTCCAGCAATCACACCCACCATCATCACCTTTTCCAGCCACTGCCAATCCTGTCAATCAATGCAACAATCAATCTTAGCATCCTTCTACAACCACCGTTCATAATCAACAATCCAATGCTCCTCGTAATGCTCGTCCTCCACCATGTTCATATCTTGGGTATCGCCAAGAATGTGGTGCTCAAGGACACATTGTCAAACGATGCCCTATTTATCGACTTGTCAACACCCAATCCTCATCAGCTCTGTTAGCAACACGCCCATAGGCTCCACATCCTGCTTCTCCTTGGCAACCGCGTGCACACTTTGCATTTCTTGACACCAACGACACCCCCACATGGCTACTTGATAGTTGGGCGTTGCACCATGTCATCATAGATTTGAATAATCTTTCATTTCACACTCCTTATACAGGGTTTGATGACGTTATGATCGACGATGGCTCGGGTCTTCACATTAACCATATCGATTCCACCACCCTTCCTACCCCTGTTCGCACATTTAATTTACGTAATATTCTTTACGTACCTAACATGAAAAAGAACCCTATTTCTATCCATCAATTTTGCAATACTAATCATGTTTCTATTTGAAATATCGTAGTTCGACCCAATCAACACCTAGACGGGGGGTGAATAGGTGTTTATGCAGATTTTTCTTTTTTAATCAATTAATAACTGCAACACGTCACAAAAATTAATTTGTCTAGATTAGTTCACATACTTTACTATCCTATGTTTGAATATCGATCATAAATTAATTGCAGAAATATAAATATACACAATTATTTGATGACGGAGAAATCTCAATGTGGGTAAAACTCTGGGCCCAAGCCAGTAGGAATCCACTATAAACGTAAATGAAATTTACAATCAGCCAGACTCAACCTAAACTGGTTTTTCTGACATCCTGACCATAGTTTCCTCAAGCCATTCCTGGAATGTGTGATCCTGCACCAACTCCCGGCACCTAGCCCTCCTGGATTGCGTGCTACACCAATTCCCAAGTCTTGATTTTGTCTATCTCCTGTTGATTCAAGAGAAACGTCTGTTCTCTAATAATCGAGACTCCGATCTCATTCCTCGATCTCCAAGAATCAACAAAGGCACTAGAAGATTGTGTTGTGGTGTTTGACTAATGTTGATTTGATCTTTTTCATGTAATTGATCAAATCAAATATAGGGTTGAATGAGAAAGTTAAATTGTAGGAGAGTTTTCTTCAATTTCAATACCTTGAAAGCACATTTCGAATTCGGCGCAGTTTTTCTCCTGTATATGTCTTTTTGGTATTTCTGGTCGGGTTAAAGTATCGAAAAAAGGAAAATAGGGTTTTATGGGTAACACTGTCGTTCGAGCGACAAGCTAGTGACGTTGTTTCATTCGAGCAAAGTGGGGGCGAGAAGCGAGCCACGACCATTCTGTTTTTGTCGCTCGAACGACCACTTGGCGAGCAGCTAGCGAAACTTCGATAGACACATCTTGCCCTACTTCATAGGTCAAACCCTAGCACACTTTGCCAAAATTTCAACTGAGTCCCTCATGTTTTACACAGGTGCACAATGACTCCTATCTTTTAATAATTGACAAATTGACTCCAAACTTTTGAGCATTTACACTTTTACCCTTTTGTTCACAGAATAGCCAGCACAAAATCTAACAAATTCCCCCTTTGGCATTCCGTGACAAAAGCAAATTACAGCAGCAATGACAATCTAATACATAGACTCAACTCACTATTGCCTTGTCATCTTTTAACCTGTTTCCTGAAATCACAACTCACATACCTAGTGTAAAAGCACGAGAAACAGTAACATAAGTACATAAAAGGTAAAGAATCATGAATAGCCATAACAATGTACTAATATACTAGATTAAGAGATAATATTAATATCAATGTAAGTCAAACAACCAAAAACATACATCAATAGTGCAAAGCATCAATACATAATCCAGCCAAAAATATCAATAAATCCCAAAAATTAACCCCACTCCTCCTTTTTATCACAAATGGCAAGGGGAACTCCAAGCAACTAAGCAGGACCATCATCTCCGACATCCCCGTCCTCAGAATCCTGGGCGTCAGACTCATAATCCCAGTGCTCGCGCATCCACCGAATACCACGCTGAACAAGAGTAATAGCCTCTCGTAATGTAGCAAACTCCACAGTATGATGCTCGGAAGCAACTCGTAACTGAGTAATGTCAGCCATCATGTGGGCTTGCTGCTCAATGAGAATCGACATCTGACCTATAAGTGCGATAGTGGGGTCAACAGGAACAGTAGCCGGAGTAAGCTGGTCGGGTGGCGGAATAGAAGTGGAAGAAGAGGGAATATCTGAAGTGGACGGATGAACCTCGGAAGGAGGCGAAGCCTCGTAATGTAGCAAACTCCACAGTATGATGCTCGGAAGCAACTCGTAACTGAGTAATGTCAGCCATCATGTGGGCTTGCTGCTCAATGAGAATCGACATCTGACCTATAAGTGCGATAGTGGGGTCAACAGGAACAATAGCCAGAGTAAGCTGGTCGGGTGGCGGAATAGAAGTGGAAGAAGAGGGAATATCTGAAGTGGACGGATGAACCTCGGAAGGAGGCGAAGGAATAGCTGAGAGATCAGCAAGTAAATCACCCAAAGGATCAGCAGGCACTGTCGGGTCGACGGGCTTAGCAGGAGCAGAGGCAGAGGCAGAGGCAGAGGCAGAGGCAAAAGAGGTGACATGTGACCTACTTTGAAAGATGGTAGTGTGCCCTATGGGACGAAGCACTCGTCGTGAGACCCCATCGGGAAAGGAAGGCCCCAGTGATGTCACCAAGCGGTGGATCAAGCAAGCATACGGCAGACCAATTCGATGACCGGAAGTGCGAAAGGTACGTAGAATGTGTTGGCAAATGAAGGTAGGTAGGTCAATTGAATCTCCATGAGTAAAGCAAAAAGAAACCTCACCTTGTCCATAGGTAGGGAAGAAGTGTGGGAGACGGATCACAGATTTGTACACCCAATGTGCAACAAAATCTGTCTATCGGTCGGGAGCGAACCAGTGCGAATCGCCTCAGGCCCACCTCCCAAAGGGCTATTAAACAAGGTGGATCGAACTAGAGAATTGGTCGGAATAGAATCAACCAAGAGATACGAGTAAACGGGGTGAATGACACGGGGAACATATATGGAACAGGAAATAACATCAGGGGAAATCCTAAGGGTTTGACCCCGGAGGAACACGCGGAAGGACGAACCACTAATGTCATGTATGTTCGCATAGAACTCCTAAACAAGAAGACTAGGCGGGGGATCTAACCCAATCAGCAAGGATTCCCAACCTCGAGAAGTAAAGATAGCTGCCACATCAGGTGATAGGTCGGATAGAGTAACCTCACGCTCTACTAGGACATGACGATGGGAAAACTGGCTCCCAAAGACTTATTGAGCAATAGAGGAAATGAATCGAGAACGACTAAACGAACCCGATCCACTACCGGGCTGAGCTGTGGTCCTAGCCCTCTTGGGTGCCATCTGCAATGTGAGATGTAGAAGATAAATCAATCCCCAAGGAAAACGAAGTGAAGGAGACACATGACTAGACAAGCCCTAAAAGGCAATCACACACAAGCCCGTGGGCTATGACCAAGACGGATGTGACGTGAACTAGACATAAACAAGATCAAGATGAAATTGGGACACACGTAAAAACGTCCAATATAAATGGAGAATTGATGAGTTGTATTTCAAACAATCCTCCAAACGTAGTACAGGCAATAACAGAGAAGTGTAAGCACCGATTTGGTAGGTGATTAGTGTGAAGTTTGATGACGTAATAGGTGAAGAGTGCACATCATGTTATAGGAAATAAGGTCAAATAAATAATGAACTCATATGTTGAGTACCTAAGACACCAATCACACGTGAGAAATGACACGCAATGGGCAAGAAACACAAGGCTATGGTGAGGAGACATTTCATCGAATACATTGTATGCACAAGAAGGAGAAGCTACAAATGGAAGCATGCAAGAGACACCCAACACCCCATAACACCACCATTTACCTAGCACACCACAAACACCCAAGTCCAAAGGAACCAAATAGTGAAAAGAAAAACAAAAATAACCCAACACCCAAACGAAAATTCAAGGCACTTACCAAAAAGAGAGGAAGGAATCACCAAGAAAAGCACACAAGGAATGGAAATAGAAGCTCCACACGTGAGAAAACAAGGGCAAATCGATCAAGGAGTGTCGATTTGAGAGGGAAAAAAAGAGAGAGAAAGGGAAGAAATGAAATTAAAAAAATGAGACGGAACGGCGCGAGAAAATTAAAAGTCTCGCTGTCGCTCGAGGGAGACTTGAGCGAACAGCGAGCGACAAAGACACTGCTTCTGTCGCTCGAGCGAGCTCCCAACGAAATGATAAAAATAGCACCTATACTTGAAAAATTTAAAAGTTAGGCCTAGGTTTAAAATTTAGCAAAGTAACAACACTTTAGAAACTTTCAAAAATAGCACCTTTTTCAGAAATTTTAATTTAAACCCCAAAATTTTTTTAAATGCATGAACAATGCAGAGGCAGTTGATTCAATCAAAGGCAATAGATCACAAATACGACATGCACAGTGATTAGAAAATGGTTACCCACACACCGGGACCAAGTACAGATGTAGTAAATTGTATATGCGACCCCTCGTTAAACGTGTCACTCATTCCAAGCAAGTAAGACTCAAAAACCTTAAATTTGTGAGAAGACACAGTCAAATCACCGACGTAGGAGTTAACACTTAGATTTTTAAAGGTCAAATCCAATGCCACTAGGATCTATACTTCGTTGAGATATGGTGTAAAACTGTTCTTCTCCCCCTGTGATTAAGGGCCTAAATTTTTTATTTTTTTTTATTTTTTTTGTGTTATCTTACGTGCAATCTCATATCCATTAAGCTACTAAGAAGACCCCTTTAATGAGTGTTGGGTCGGTGACTCCCAAACCAATTGACTTTAGGGCACTAGGTTATGAGAAACCCCTCAGACTTAATTGCTCGAGTCATCTAGGCTCCGAAGATAGGTATAAGATGTGATATAATGAATACTCTGTGGAAACACTCGGGGGTACACGAGAAGTTAGGTCATCTAGTCCAAGATCAATTCAAATCCAATGTCTACTCAACGATAGATGATAGCCATCCCAAGTCTCACACATGCGGTTAAGACTCAGACACACGGTCCTAGTGTGTGTTGTGCAAATATAATATGAAGTGACATATACTAAGTACTCCATACAGACTCGGGATAAGTGACGGGATTTAGAAACTAATCATGTGTAGAATGCACATTTGATTTCAAATTGCAACTCCGAGAGAACAAGTACAATGCAAAAATGACATGTGATGATCAAACTCCCCTCCCCCCTTTTTTATATGAAGTTTTAAAAAAAAAATGCAAATAAACACATAAAGGTAACGTAATGAATGCAAAAAAATAAAAATAAAAAATGCATGCATCTATGAAGACGATGAGGGAGGAACACAGATGCCAACAGTCTTCCTAAGTGACTCGAATCTAAACCCATCTAGAGGTTTAGTGAATAGATCGGCAAGTTGATTTTTAGTAGAGATGTGTTCGAGAGAAATCACATGGACTCAACTAGCTCTCGAATAAAGTGATGACGAATGTCAATGTGCTTGGTCCAAGAATGTTGAACCAGATTTTTTGATATGTTGATAGCATTAGTATTGTCACAGAAAATAGTCATAGTACCCTGATTTATCCCATAGTCACACAGCATTTGCTTCATCCAAAGCAGTTAAGTGCAGCAGCTACCAGCTGCAATGTATTCTGCCTCGGCTGCGAACAAGGAGACTGAGTTTTTTTTTCTTATTCATCCAGGAGACAAGATTAGAACCAACGTAGAAACATCCACCCGAGGTACTTTTTCTATTGTCGGCATTTCTGGCCCAATCGGCATCAAAATAGCTCGCTAATTCTAGATTGGAATCTCTGGAATACAAGATCCCATGATCTACTATCCCATTGACATATCTAATAATGCGCCTCACTGCACTTAGATGGGACTCCTTAGGATCAGCTTGAAATCTAGCACATACACCAACACTAAACTCTATGTCAGGTATACTGGCAATAAGATATTGTAAACTGCCTATCATGCTCCTATACACAGTCTGATCAACACTCTTACTTGTAGGATCATGTCCTAACTTAACATTTGTGCTCATAGGTGTCCTTGTGTGTTTCTTACTGTCCAAACCAAATCTCTTCACAAGGTCTTTGGCATATTTTGATTGAGAGATAAATAGCCCACAATCAGTTTGCTTTACTTGAAGACCAAGGAAGTAATTTAGCTCTCCAACCATACTCATTTCAAATTCTTGTTTCATGCATTCAGCAAATCCAAGAGCAAGGGAGCCAATGGGAGAGCCAAAGATGATGTTATCGATATAGATCTGACCTACAATGATAGTTTCTTCAATATGTCTAATGAATAAGGTTCTGTCAGCACCACCTCGTGAGAACCCATGCTCAACGAGGTAAGTGGTGAGTCTGTCATATCAAGCTTTAGGAGCTTGTTTCAGACCATACAGTGCTTTATTTAGTTTGTAGACATAATGAGGAAACTTAGGGTCAATGAATCCTTTCGGCTGTTCAACATACGCCTCTTCTTGGAGTATTCCATTCAAGAATGCACTCTTGACATCCATTTGATATAGCTTGAACCCTAAGATACATGCAACTGCAAGAAGAATACGAATGGACTCAAGACGAGTGACTGGGGCAAAAGTCTCATCAAAATCTACCCCTTCCACCTGAGTGTACCCCTGGGCAACTAGTCTAGCCTTAGTCCTAGTTATAGTACCTTGGTCAGCGGTTTTGTTCTTGAAAATCCACTTAGTACCTATCACATTAGAGTCATCAGGCCTAGGGACTAGATTCAAAACATTATTTCGAACGAATTGATTAAGCTCCTCATGCATGGCATTCACCCAGCATTCATCTCTAAGGGCTTCCTCTACTTTCTTAGGTTCAATCTGGGATACATAGCTAGTATATGTTAGGTTATTTGGAATTCTCTTTCGTAACCTCATTCCTTCATCCAAATCCCCAGTAATGTTAACCTTAGGATGATTAGACTGATCCCAATTTGGTAGACCTTGCTCAGATATGTTTTCTGAGGATTGTGGAGATTTTGGGATTGAGTGCTCTTTATTTTCAGCAGTGCCTCCTTGATCTTCACTTAGATCTTCTATGTCAACCCCATTTCAGCACTCTCCCCCTCAGTAAAGGCATCATCAATAACAACATTTACAGATTTCAAGACACTCTGAGTACGCAAGTTGTAAACTCGGTATGCTCTACTGTTCTTAGAATATCCTAGAAAAGTCCCATCATCACTTTTGGAATCAAACTTGCCTAGATTTTCTCTATCCCTCAGAATGTAACATTTGCTGCCAAACACCCGAAAGTATTTAACAGTAGGCTTCTTGCCTTTCCAGATCTCATAAGGAGTCTTGTCTGATTTCGGTCTCAAGTATACCCTATTTATTATGTGGTACGCGATGTTAATAGCTTTACCTCAGAAATGCATTGCTAGATCCTTGCCGTGAGGCATGGGCCTAGCCATTTCTTGAAGTACTCTATTCTTCCTCTCAACAACTCCATTTTGCTTTAGCGTGATTGATGAGGAGAACTCATGCTTAATCCCCTCCTCCAAGCAGAAGTTTTCTGGATCGAAGTTTTCAAATTCTTTTCCATGATTACTTCGAACCCTAGAAATAGGAAGGTTTTGTCCAACTTTGAGTTTTTTGCATAAGGACTTAACCATAAATCCCGTCTCAGATTTTTCTCTTAATAGATCAATCCAGGTGAATCTAGAAAAATCATCTACCACAACCAGAATATACCATTTGCCTCCTAGGCTCTCTACTCTAGATGGTCCCATTAAATCTATATGGAGAAGCTCTAGGGGTCTATTCGTCAAGATTTTTGAGGTTTGCTTATGGTTTATCCTGAGTTGCTTTCCTTGTTGACATAGCTTGCACACAACATTCTCACTTTGATCAATCTTAGGTAAATCATCGACAATCTTCTTTTTGACCAATTTAGATAGACTTTTGTAGTTAACATGACCGAGTCTTTGATGCCAAAGTTCAGATATATCAATTTTAGCACTACTGCATACATAGTTCGAGTTTGGAAGAACTCCATAACAGTTATCAGATGTTCTAACACCTTCAAGAACAACACCACTAGAAGCGTCATAAACAGTGCATCTCTTTCGGACAAAACTCACTTCATAGTCAGCATCACAGATTTGACTAATGCTCAATAAGTTGGACTTAAGGCCCTCTACATAAAGTACATTGGATATTATAGGAAGTCGAGCAATGGTTATGGAGTCTTTACCTCGGATGGGTGCCGTAACTCCGACGCCAAAGGTAACTACATCGCTGTTGCAGTCATCAAAGGTAGAGAATAAGGCCTTGTTACCACACATGTGTCTAGAACAAGTACTATCAAGATACCACATGCATGTATTTTGTGCCTTATATGCAACATGAGCAACAAAACATTTTAGATTCTCAGTATACTCACCCACATCAGATTTCTTTACCCAAACTTCTCTCGAGGTCGAGGTTATCATAGTCAACCTTGTTACCATCTCAGTTAAGTGGCTAACCTGATTTGAAAGGAAGTTCACTTGACCAGGGATATCCTAACTTCGATTCCTATTTACTAGCTTTCGACACCTAGGTTTCGTGCAGCCTAAGGCACCATAGTGATGACAAGTGGGTATGAACCTAGGTTCAGACGTACGTGAGTGTTGATTATGAAAATTAGGTGTAGAGATCTTATGAACTCTATGGCCTTCAGTCCATTAAAATTTTTGTCTTTGGATTCTGGATTTGTTGAAACATTAGATCTATTGGAAGCGAGGACAAATGTGGTCTTTGATAGACTAGACACATTGCTATCACTCTTCACAAATCCTAGACCTTGTCTATTTCCAACTGGTTTGTTCATTCCTAACATATCGTCTAGTTTCTTAGTTCCACTCGCAAATGATTGTAGTTGAGTGTTGGATCTCTCTAATTCATAGGTCAATGTCTTGATCCTGTCCTCTAATTTCTCATTGACACACTTCAACTCAATGAGATTTTTGGATGAGACTTGAAGATCATGGGTGATTTTCTCCTTCTCTCTCTCAAGCTCGTCTACCTTCTTAAATAGGGCTTTATTTACCTTTTTGATCTTGAGACTTTCCTTAAACATAAGTTGATAAGTCTCATGTATATCTGTCTCATCCTTCGAATTATCACCGGACTTGTCACTCTCCACTTCCTCCTCAACGTTCTCACTTTCCTTGTCTGACTCGCTCTTGACAGTAGATACAAAAGTCATATAGCCCTTTTCCTCTTCACTGCTTCAGGAATCACTTTGTTCACTTAAATTAGAATCATCATTAGTTAATGACACAGTTAATGCCTTCCTACTCCCCTTCTTTAGATTTTTCTTAAAGTTAGGACATTCATTTCTATAGTGCCCAAATCCCTGACACTCATAACACCTAACCTCTTTAGATTTCTTACTAGGGTTCCTAGCAGTTGATTTATCATCATTCTCTCTTTGCAATTTGCTAGGGGCTTCTCTCATTTTCTCTTGAGGTCATTTTTCGCCCTTTAAGACTTTTTGGAATTTTTTCACAAAGTAGGTAATCTCCTCATCTCTAAGAGTTTCCATGCCAGATGATTCAGACTCTCCTTCCCTAACAGTGTTCAGGGCTATGAACCTATTTTTTCTTGGTTGTGAAATGGTGAGTTCATAGGTTTGAAGGGATCCTACGAGTTCTTCTATCTTAATTGTATCCAGATCATTCCTTTCTTCAATAGTTGTAACTTTAGGTCTAAATCTCTTGAGCAAGGAT